GGTGTCTGAGTGGGCGGGGTTTGCAACGAGTGGGCGGGGTTTGTGCCGGGAGGGCGGGGCTAGGGGCGCCCCCCGCCCCGGGCAGGGTTAAGGCGAGGCGGGTCCGGGCCGTGTCCCCCCTCCCAGGGCTAATTGTGGGGGTGCCCGGGCTAGCTGGGGGTATCCAGGGCTAGCCAGGGGTACTTGGGGCTAGCTGAGGGGCACCCGAGCTAGTGGGGAACACTTGGCATTATCTGTGGAGTGCCTCGGGCTAGCTGGGGGACAGCCAGGGCTAGTTGGGAGATGCCTGGGGCTAGCTGGGTCACACCCAGGGCTAGTGGAGCACACCCGGGGCTAGTTGGAAGGTGCCTGGGGCTAGCTGGGTCACACCCAGGGCTAGTGGAGCACATGCAGGGCTAGCTGGGAGGTGCCTGGGGCTAACTGGGAGGTGCCTGGGACTAGCTAGGACACCACAGGCTAGTGGAACACACCCAGGGCTAGCTGGGAGATGCCTGGGACAAGCTAGGGGACACCCAGGACTAGCTGGGCGATGCCTGGGGCTAGCTAGGGGACACCCAGGGCTAGTTGGGAGATGCCTGGGAGTAGCTAGGGAACACCCAGGGCTAGTGGGGGACACCCAGGGCTACTTGGGAGATGCCTGGGACTAGTGGGGGACACCCAGGGCTAGTGGAGCACAGCCAGGACTAGCTGGGAGGTGCCTGGGGCTAGCTGGATCACAGCCAGGGCTAGCTGGGAGATGCGTGGGACGAGCTAGAGGACACCCAGGACAAGTTGGGAGGTGCCTGGGACTAGTGTGGGACACCCAGGACTAGTTGGGAGGTGCCTGGGACTAGTGGGGGGCACCCAGGGCTAGTTGGGAGGTGCCTGGGACTAGCTAGGGCACACCCAGGGCTAGCTGGAGCATACTCAGAGCTAGTGGAGCACACGCAGGGCTAGGTGGGAGATGCCTGGGACTAGTTGGGAGGTTCCTGGGACTAGTGGGGGACACCCAGGACTAGCTGAGCTGGGAGGTGCCTGGGACTAGTGGGGGACACCCAGGGCTAGCTGGGAGGTGCCTGTGGCTAGCGAGGGATACTCGGGGAGAACCGGGCAACACCTGGGCTAGCGGGGGGACAGGCAGGGCGAGTTG